GTAATTTTCCCCTTTAAAATCAGCAGTGAGACCAGGCTGTCTGCTTTCCCCACCAAAATTAGTACATGAAGGTTTATAGAAAATTTATTTTGGCCGGACGCAGTGGCTCACTCCTGTAATCCCATCACTTTGGGAGGCTGAGGTGGGTGGATCACAAGGTCAGAAGTTGAAGACCAGCCTGGCCAAGATGGTGAAACTCTGTCTCTACTAAAAAATACAAAAATTAGCCGGGCATGGTGGCAGGCGCCTGTAATTCCAGCTACTCGGGAGGCTGAGACAGGAGAATTGCTTGAACACAGGCAGCAGAGGTTGCAGTGAGCCAAGATCGTGCCACTGTACTCCAGCCTGGGTGATAGAGTGAGACTCCATCTCAAAAAGAAAAAAAAAAAATTTATTTTGTAATGAGCAAAAATTAGAAAGAACCCCAGTGTCCGTCAACTGGTGAACAGGCACATTATGGTATGCCCATCCGGAATACTACTCAGCAAGAAAAAAGCAGTGAACTACTGATACTTCTAACAATATGCATGAACCTCCAGAGCACGATGCTAAGCAAAAGAAGACACAGACTACATCGTCTATAGCTTGTGTGATTCCATTTATATGAAATTCTACAAGAGGACAGAACTCTAGAGAAAGAAAGCAGATTAGCAGTTGTCGAGGGGAAGGGTGGGGAGAGGAGACGGACAGCAAAGGGACATGGGGAACCTCACAGACTGACGGAAATGTTTACATCGCAAATTAGGGAGCTGGTACACACCTATGAACGCAGCTGCGAAAACATCTAATTATATACCTAGAATAGGTGAATGGTATTCAACCTCAATAAAGCTGACAGGAGGGAGAGAAGGAGAGACGGAAGGAGAGAAGGAGGAAGCGAAGGAAAGCGGAAACTGACCACATGGACCTGGCCATCACCCGTGGAATGGATAAATGGATGTATCGACAGTGCAGGGAGTTGGGAGGATGCTTACAGCAGAAATCCTTCTTCCTATTAGCCCAAACTTTAGGGGAGCACATAACCAAAACAACCAAACTTACATTTTCCCTGATCCATACAGCTAAGTAAAACCACGTCACTTCGGATGACAAGCCAGCAGGAAACAGTGGAAGTGCTACGAGCAGCTGTTGGGGGTACGGCTTCTCGTCCCATGTCTTATTATCCCTGCTAGTGGAATGCAAATGTGATGACGAGTGCTAAGGCAGCCACCTTGGACCATGAGGTCAAAGCCAAGCACAGAGGAGCAACCAATGTGGTGACAATGTGGAGACAGTAATAGAGTTCTATCCTGTGAAGCCACGATTATTACACATTTGCCATCACTTGTAGATGTATTCACATCTAACCTCTACACCTCTACCATGCCAGAAACCATAACTCAATTTTTCCTACTAGCCAATACAAGACAGACTTTTCTTTTCCCTGCTGAGACAAAGTCTTGCTCTGTCACCCAGGCTGGAGTACAGCGGCGAGATCTCAGCTCACTGCAGCCTCTGTCTCCTGAGTTCAAGCAATTTTCCTGCCTCAGCCTCCTCAGTAGCTGGGACTACAGGTACACGCCACCATGCCCAGCTAATTTTTGTATTTTTCATAGAGATGGAGTTCCGCCATGTTGGCCAGGCTGGTCTGGAACTCCTGACCTCAGCTGATCTGCTCCCCTTGACCTCCCAAAGCGCTGGGATTACAGGCGTGAGCCACTGCGCCGGGCCAAGGCACACATTTCAATATTCTCCTGAAGTCCTCTGCCTATCATTTCATTTCCACACACACACAGGCCGTGCTCAGGTGACCTACTCTTCACACTCTGCCAGCCTGCAGGAGGCTGGCTCTCCCAGAAGCCAGCCCATCTACCTTCCAGGCTGATCCACTCTGCAAGCCTTGCTGAGCTGGGTCCCGGAGAGCATCAACACCCCCGGGAGACCATGTGGGAGCTGAGTAAGACCGACCGGGTGTGAAAGGAAACCGAATCGTGAAAACCCAAGCTCAGTAAGCCAAAGTGAATGGTCAAGCTGGGAACTGGGGCATGCAAACCTGCCTACCCCTTTGGTTCCAAAGATAAGATGGCTACAAGATGAAGCAACATGCCTCCCCCTTATTTTGCCCACAAGGAAATTCCTAGTGAGCCGCACGATCTTTTACGGTGTTTCTGTTAAGATGTCACCACAGCAAGGCAAATGGATAGCTTATCCTTACAAGTACAGTCACCCCCAGCCCACCAGACACAAATGTGTATCTGATTGTTCCCCATTTTGTCTAGGTTATCTTACGTAAAGTGCAGATTCCCTGCATTTTTCCTCTGCTCCATTTGTCTGTGTCTTAGGTTTAAAAAAAAAAAAAATGCAGATTGACTGAGCCAGACAAAGGCATGAACGACTATTTTTCTCTATCTCCCTCTTACATGAAAAATTGTGTACTTCTCAATATCTAGCCCTTTCCCCTTTAAATTCAAAGCCCTCAAAATCATCTTGGGAGAAAGGCATGGACCTGTCTCCCAGGCGCGTGTCCTTACTTTTGACAAATAAACCTCCTAAAATGATTAAGAGTGGTCTCATTGTTTTTCTCAATTGACAGGGGAGGCTTTCCAAAGCAACAGCTCAAAGCCCAGGAGGTCACAGACAAGAGGACCAGCTGCCAACTGCCATCACTAGCACGCGACTCAGCGTCCACACTCTGAGACGGAAGCGCCTGAGAGGTCAGCTGCACAAAGAATGTGTCAAGTGGTAGGAAAAGGTAAGTCAGAATACACCAAAGGTCCTGTGGCAGACTCTATTTCCCATTTTAAAAATCATAAGTAAAAAGGAAGTTATAATAAATCACCTCATTTTCCAGATATGATTAGCACCACTGCTGAAAAGGACAATCAAAGAGAAGTGTCTCAGAATGACTACTGCTGGAAACTAATTTTCTCTTTTTGTATTCTACAATCTCTAAGTACTTCGCTTTAACAATCTTGGATTTTTTTAACAGATTTACTGCACAGACAAGAAATGTCAAAGCTTAAAAGCACATTTACTAAAGCAATCAACATGCAAAACAAAATATTTCTAACAATAAAAAAAAGATTCAGCTTTAAAGAGAGAACATTTACTATAACAAGAAAAAAAATGATAACTAAGAATAAATCTAATAAAACATGTGAGTCAGGAGAATAGGGTCTGGAGGCAGGAACCTAAGGCCAATTCACACTAACTTCTTAGAACCAAATCAAAAGGAAAACCCCACTTTCAAGCCCAGGTAACAAAAGAATCAGAGGCAATCCACCCCTTCTCTGCATGGCAGATGAAAAACTGAAAGTATCTCTGATTGATCCCCTTCAACAACCAATCAGGCTGGTCCCAGGCCAAGTCTTTCTTTGCACAACATTGTAAATTTATGACTTCACTTCAGCCTCTGATTGGCCACTTTCTGCAACTCATCAGACACTTGCACGGGGTGTTTTATAACTTCACTTCAGCCTCTCATTGGTTGCTTTCTGCAACCAATCAGACTGATTGTGGGCCACTACTTCATTGACACAGGGTGTACACCAAGTAACCAATGGGAAACCTCTAGAAGGTATTTAAACCCCAGAAAATTGTGTAACCAGGCCCTTGAGCTGCTTGCCCAGGCCTGTTCCCACCCTGCGGAAAGTGTGCCCTTTTCCATAAATCTCATGCTTCATTCTTCCCTTGCCTTGTTTGTGCATTTTGTCCAATTCTTTGTTCAAGATGCCAAGAACCTGGACACCCTCCACCGGTAACACTTGTACAGGACCCTTCAGGGAGAAAATTTGAAAACTTCACTGAAAAGCATTAAAAATGACTTTTAAAAGAGGAACTAGCATGTTCATGAAAATGAATATTTAATTTCATAAAGCTATCCACTCTCCCAAACTAAAAATTGTCTTTTCTGACCCCTGACTTTCCATGCAATGAAAGATTCCATGCAATTCCAACCATAAACCAAACAAATCTAAAAAACAAAAACACAAGTGAAAGACCTTGGCAAACTGACTCTGAGAAGTATGTAGAAGAGCAAGGGGTGGGACTGCCCAGTTCCTGGCGAAGAGGAAACCCACAGGTGGTGCGTGCCCACAACAGGCAGCAGGACGTCATGAGGCTAAATTACTTGTAGGGTGCAATATGAAGGGAAGACCACCTAAACACTGGGGCAAAACCCAACACAACACAGATCTACGTGAATGTGTCAGTGACAGAAAACAGAAGTGACATCACAAATGTAGAAAATAAAAAGTTCTTCAAAGCTATCCTCTTAATTGATTATAAATCATAGCTTCTTTAAAAGTTAACTTACTGCAGCCTGGCAAACATGGCAAAACCCCATCTCTATAGAAAATACAAAAATTAGCTAGGCGTGGTGGTGGGCACCTGTAATCCCAGCTAGTTGGGAGGCTCAGGCAAAAGGGTCGCCTGAACCTAGGAAGCGTAGGTTGCAGTGAGCTGAGATCATACCACTACACTCCAGCCTGGGTGACAGAGCAAGACTCAGTCTCTGAATGAATGAATGAATGAATGAATGAATGAATGAATGAATGAAAAAACAAGATGCAGAGACCAGGCTAGAGAAAGAGTGATGCAGCTCCAGAAGACCCAAATTAAATTCACACATTGTGTTCCTACTGTCACATGACATGAATGAAAGTCACAAAGAATCGTAAACCTAAAAGGCAAGACAGTGTCATCCAGGTAGGGGTTTCAAGGGGAGCAGGGGGTACACGGCAGCCTCAGTGCTCTGGGTCAGGCCTGAGTTCATGGCCATGTGTGCAGCTAGGTAGCAATGATGGCGTTCTAGCTCCTAAATCTGGCAGTGGATCATGAGTGCATACATCCACACATATGAATTACATACGGTCTTTGGCGTGTGACAATATTATACAGTAAAAATATTTAAAGAACAAATGAGAGTCCCATCAGCAACTGTGAACACAAGGGCCAGGCGCAGCAACAGTTCGCCTGGGAGCCACTCCCAACAAGGCAAACTCCCACCAAGAGCTTCTTACCTCTGTCACCTTGGGCTGCAGGATCAGCGCTTCAGGGCTCATGCGAGGGATGTCTATGTGGATCTGGAGAAGCAGGAGAAACAGACATGTATGTTACATGACAACAAACACACTGCAAGCGTTATGACTAAAACAGCAACACTGAGGGACGTCCTTCCCCTGCCTTTACCCTGCTCTCTCCTCGAGGATTCTCGTTCTCTACGCTACCACGATCTCCCCCGAAGGAGGCATACAAAGCCTGCTCTCTCTGAACAGCTCGCCCAGTCCTAGGTGACAGGCTTGCCTGACACTGTCCCCGCCCAGCAGCCACTGCTGCGTGATGAGGAACAGAGCAGGCCTCGGATGCTTAGTAACATCAGCCACAGCAATTAGTAAACATCGATTTTCAGCCTCTGACACAGGAGCAATTCAAGTACGTCAATAGTTGACAAGTTTTCAGCTGCGACAGCTTCTTCTTGGACAGAGGCCACATTTTTCTCCACTTTATGAAGTCCTGGGGGAATCTAGAACATTTTTCAAAGGAAGCATTTGAAAGCCTCAGTTAGTGTCAGCTGGTTCCTGCTTGGCGGCCATCTGACATGAGAGTTATAATGAAGTCCCCAACACTGCAGAGGACACTTGTGCCCCAGAAGAAGCCAAACCAGAGTGCTGTGAGCTGGAGCTGGCTCCCAGCATCCCACGCGAACTTCTCGTACTAGCCCACACTCCCGTTTGTCCAGGACAGCGGCTCCAGTGGGCTGAGGGAAGATAAACGCATTTTCATGCCAAGGGAGACGCTACAATTGCATTTCATTTCACCCCATCCTTGCACATCCCCACAGAGGACCCTCACACCCAGGAGGCTGGGACACCGTCACTCTGCCATTTACCACACTGTGGCCGGGCCTCAGTTTCCTTGTCTACACAACGGCCGCTCCAAGTATCTCAAAGGGTTACTGGTAAACATCAAGTAAGATTGTGAGTCAACAGCCACATGGATTAAGCTGAGACGCACACACATCTGAGATGCGGGCCAAAGGAGGCCTGCCAGCAGCAGTGCTACTGAAGAGGAGCGGGAGATGGGCGGGGGGGGGGGGGGGGGGGGGGGGGGGAGGGGGGGGACCAGGAGGAGGAAGAGGGGACATGGAGGAGACAGAAGTGGCACTACTCTATCCAGAAAGGCAGAGCCAAAGGACTGCAGCCAGCCACATGCAAGAGCCCAGGTGCCAGCAGGGATAAGGGCCCAGGTCTGTCATCAGGGCGTCCTGGAGGGCTGTCTGTTCCCATACAGTTACACTCGTGTGGACACACACCCATCCCCAGCATGAGCAGCATAAGCTGCTGCAGGGCAGGAGCCAGGTCTGAGCCACCTCTACATGCCCAGGGCCAGCACAGCCCCTTACATAAAAGATCCTGTCACACATTTATGAAGGAGAAAAGGCAGCATCCACCAGACCCCACACCTGCCATCCTCCCCATCATCAGGAGAGGCTCCAACATTAGAGAGACGGTCCTCCACAAGGCTGAGCAGGTAGGGCTCTGTGCACCCCTCCTTCCATCCCGCCTGCCCCCCATCAAACACAGAACTGGGCACAAAGGAAAAAGGCCACAACAGAGTTGACTGAGGGAGGAAAAGGCAGACCAGACCAATATTTCACTCTGACTCCATATGGCCCTCCACGCGGCTTTGACATAACATCTTCAGCAGAAGAGTGAGCACATACAAATCAGATGAAGAAGGATGGAAAGCAAGTGGGGAACCTGCCGAAGCCACCCCCTCCTACTGCCTCCACCTGTGTGCAGGGGCAGGCCGCCAGTCAGGCTCAGTCCACGGGTCAAACGCCCAACTGGACGGCAAGGAGAAACCAGGGTCCCCAAACCCCGTCGGGCCCAGCTCTGCCTGAAATGGCGATGGCGAGAAAGAAGGCGCAGTTCCAAGAGGCCTCGAAGCATTAGGCAGGGAGGAAAAACGACTGCGTTACCGCCCATGTCTCATCTATATTAATGTAGAAACAGTGTGGGAATTCACAATAGTATGGAATCTTTTTATTACCTATCACAGTAACTAAATAAAGATGTATGCAGCCTGTGCGTAATTAACTTTCTCTTCAAAAACTCGGAACAGAATTCCGCTTGGTAAAACTCGCAGATAGATGCTAGTGTCATCCTTTGGAAATCATTTTCTGAAATTAAAATGCATTAAAAAACGCACTCAAAACAATGCCAAATTTATTAATTTCCTAAAACCGGTGCAGTAGCAAAAGAGACCAGGTAAGCTAATATTTCCTTAAGCAAACCCAAAGTAATCTGTGTATCAAGTCAGTTTCCCAGAGTAACTGGGTGGTGGCCCAGTGTGGCCCAGGAGCCCCGGTGCCAGGCAGAAGGCACCACAGGCCAGTGGGAGCTCCGGCCAGGAAGGCAACGGAGGCAGCCATTGCCCCAGTCTCATTCCTAAGCAAGTCACTTTTCCTCCTACGGCCCTGTGTCCCATCCGTCTTGGAAGATGCTGACCAGGAATGCATTTAACTTAAAGAATCTTTGATTACGTAACAGAGGTAAGGCGTATCTTTGGACTTTTTTTTTTTTTTAACAGATAAAACAAACAAAGAGATGTGGATATCCCACGTCTGAGAGGGGAAAATGTGGCAAAGCTCCTTCACCTAGAAGTAGGGTTTGCAGAGGGAGATATTCCTGGCATGCCTCGGGAAACCCAGAAGCTGATTTCAGATATCTGAGACAATAGTACCAATTAAGAACTACCATTCTGACCTTTCACATATTACAAAGAGAATGAGAATTATACGGTCCTCAAAGAGCTATTCTAACAGCAAATTCTGGATGTACTGTGAATCATAAATCAATTTTAAGTATTTTCCCATTATGTATATCATCTGTCAACTGACTATTTAAGAAACCATAATTAGACACATTTTATATTAAACTAAATAGCAAAATGGTAACTTGGCTGCACCTTCTGCTATGGTCTGAAGTGTGTCCCCCACAAACCCAAGCTGATTAACACACCTTTCCTGGGTCGGTATCATGCCCCTAGCTGGACCAAAGAACCCAGCGTCAGCAGCCCCCATGCAACCTCTCTGTCCTGATGCCGTCCAGCTCAATGCCTGGGCCTGGGCCTTCGCCTTCAGAAATGGCCTTTTATTACCAGACAGCAGCTCACGAAGACACAAACTCCCACCATCACCCTAAGGCAGGTCGCAGGAGTCCAAGGCATTTATTTTACAACCTCAATTTAAAATACTCTTTTTTACTTTTGTAGAGAGAACTGAAGACAAGCAAGATAGTACTATTGGAAGAAATATTCCATTATTTGTTTTACAATTTATTAGAAAAGAAAAATCTGTGAGCTAATCAGGGACCTGCGTCTTTAACTCTGACCAACTCCACATGGTTTTGATAAAAACATTTCCTCCTATAAATCACACGGAAGCAAAGTACTTCAGGTAACACACGAAAGAGAGAAAGGGTTCCCACCTGCCTGTACGTGTCCTGGTGAACTTCGTCGTTCCTGGAATGGTAATAGTGTTCAATAAATGCAAAATACTCTTTTTGTTTTCTCTGGAGAGTGGCTGGTCTCCGGTCTACGTTGGCAGGAAGGTAACCCTGGGTGAGAAATAAAAAACAAACAATATACAAGGTCATAGTTAGTTCATGGAGTCCCCATGAGAAGTGCGAAATAAAAAGGCTTGCATCCTACCTGAGGGTGGCGTTCTGAAATCTGATACAAAGGGGAGCACAAATTGTGGGAAAACAGAAACACACAGAGAAGCTCAGCCAGCTGAACCCCACGCAGGCAGCACTCCCGACAGCACTGAGGAAGGCGCCAGGGCTTGCGTCCGCAGCCTCCCAGTGCAGGCCCTCTTCACTCAGCCGGACAGGAGTCGCTCAGGCTCTGCAGCAGGTGAGCCCAAGGCCCTTCTACAGCAGGGCTGCGTGATGAGACAAGCCCTTCTCTGTTGGCCTCATACACCAGGAAGGATTCCAAAGTCTCAACAGTCTTCTACCAGCAACCACACACACACATATACACATATACATGTATACATGCACGCATATACACACATACATGTGTACGTACTGTCACTTATGTAAATGTGCTGCTGTCTTCAAACACGCATGGGCCTGTGAGAGCTGCGTCCCAGTACGTAAAGGGGACTTGACCTCAGAAAGGGCCAGCCAGCACAAGGAGGTCATGAAGAGGCTGATTCCTGGTCCCGACGGTCTTTGCCTTGTTTCTACTTTTTAACTTGACATTATTGACAACATATAGTTGCCCCTAAGTGTCCTTGGGGGATACCAACATTCTTAGCTGCTCAAGACCCTTGTATAAAATGTCGTAGTATTTGCATGTAACCTATGCACATCTGCCTGAGTACTTTAATACTGTATGACACCTGACACAGGGTAAATACTACGCAAACAGTTGTTAGACTGTGTTGTTATTTATACTAACCTTTGTTGCATTATTACTTTTCATTGGGTCTTTTTCCAAATATTTTCCATGCACAGTTGGTTGAATCTGCAGATGCAAAACCTCCAGATATAAATGGCCAACTCTAATTTATAAAATAAGTGTGCCCATTTTAGCCAATCAGTTGGGTGGCTTTTGACAAGGGTACCCAGCTATGTAACTCCTACTCCAAGGAAGATACAGACACCCTTCTATCCTCCCGCCCCCGTAGGCTTCCCAGTACCCTCTAGCAGCCTGTCCCAACCCTGGCGGAGGAGGCGCTCACCTCGTCACTGTGCATGGCTGAGCCTGACTTAGAACTCTCTAGAAATGGAGTCACTCAGGACCTACACTGTACGCAAGAGCTTTTCCTTCACTCGGCAGCAGAGCGTCTTCTGAGATGCCCCCAAGTTACATGAATCAGCTGCAATTTCCTTTCCCTAGCTGTGTCCATCGTATGGATCCACCAGTTTGTTAAAGGTTCACCTGTCAATGAACATGTGCGCTGTTTCCGGTTTGGGGTTTGTTATATTCTTGCACAAGAGTTTTGTTGGCATACGCTTTGGCTTTTCATGGTTAAATACCCAGGAGTAGAGTTACTGGGTCATAATATTGGTGTATGTTTAGGTTTTTTTTTTTTTTTTTTTTTTTTTTTGCAATGTTAATTCACTTTATTTTTCTTGTATAAAAACCCTATGTTGTAGCCACAGCTGGAGCTTGGGTCCTCTGCACAGAGACTCTGGTGTGGGTCTTGACGAGGTGGTCCGTGAATTCCTGATAGAGAGACTTGGTAAATACAGTCTCCTTCCAGAGGTCGGGGGTCAGGTAGCTGTAAGTCTTAGAGATGGCATCAAATGTGGCCTTGGCAAAGTTGCCCAAGGTGGCAGTGCAGCCCCTAGCTGAGGTGTAGCAGTCATCGATACCAGCCATCATGAGCAGCTTCTTGGGCACAGGCGCTGAGACGATGCCAATGCCCCTGGGAACAGGGATGAGGCGCACCAGCACAGAGCCACAGCGGCCTGTCACCTTGCAAGGGGCGGTGTGGGGCTTGCCGATCTTGTTCCCCCAGTAGCCTCTGTGCACAGGGACAATGGAGAGCTTGGCCAGGGTGATGGCCCCACGGATGGCAGTGGCCACCTCCTTGGAACACTTAAGACCCAGACCGACATGACCATTGTAGTCCCCGATAGCAACAAACGCCTTGAACCTGGTGCGCTGGCCAGCACGGTTCTGCTTCTGCACCGGCATAATCCAAAACCTCATCCTTGAGAGAGGCCCCCAGGAAAAAGTCAGTGATCTCAGATTCCTTGATGGGCAGAGAGAAGAGATAGATCTCCTCCAGAGATTTAATCTTCATGTCTTTGACCAGGCGGCCCAACTTGGTGACAGCATCCACTCCTTATCCTCAGCTTTGCCTCCGAAAGCTCCACAGCCACGGCTCCAGCCCCGTCCAGGGCCCCCAGGCCTCCAGGCCCCCCCCCCCGCCCCCCGCCCCCCCCCCGCGCCCCCCGCTGCACCAGCGTCATCTGCCATTTGGTGTTTTATCAGAGAAGAAGCGTATGTTTAGTTTTCTAAGAAACTGCCAGATCTTTTTCCAAAGCAGCAATGTATGAGAACTCCAGATGCCCCATACCCTTTCCAACACTTACGACTGTGAATCTATCAGCCAGGCGGTTGGGTGTGGCTTTAATTTCCTTTCCATAATGATTAATGACACTGAACATCCTTCTTTGGTGAAGTATCTGTTCAGATCTTTGGCCCAGTGTTTACCCAGGTTGTGTGTCATCTTATTACTGAGTTTGATGAGCTCTGTACACACTCTAGATACGAATCTCTTTCCTGTATATGTACTGTCATTCCTCACCACAATCTAAGGCTTGCTGTTTTGTCTCAAACAGATGAAGTCTTCAAGTTTCATGAAGTCAAATTGATAGCTTTTCTTTTATAATCAGTGTTCTTGTATCTTATATAAAAAAGTTTTTTGGCCGGGCACAGTGGCTCACACCAGTAATCCCAGCACTTTGGGAGATCGAGACGGGCGGATCACAAGGTCAGGAGTTTGAGACCAGCCTGGCCAACATGGTAAAGCCCCATCTCTACCAAAAACACAAAATGTAGCCAGATGTGGTGGCACCTGCCTATAACCCCAGCTACTCGGGAGGCTGAGGCAGGAGAATCACTTGAACCCGGGAGGCAGAGGTTGCAGTGAGTCGAGATAGCAACACTGCACTCCAGCCTGAGCAAGAGAGCAAGGCCCCGTCTCAAGAAAAAAAAAAAAAAATCTCCTTGTTTTTCCCTGGAAGTCTTAATGCTCTGCCTGGCCACGTCTTTCTCGTCTCTTCAGTGGTCACCTCTCCCATGAGGTCTGACAGGGCGCATGGTCGGTAGTCACTTCTCCCATGAGGTGGGGCTGGTCACTCGGCGCTCCAGCAGCATCTAGCTAGAAGTTCCCTCAGGGCCAGCCCCTCATGGTGCCAACCAGCTGGCAGGCACACAACCTCTCACTGGGTGAATCACGTATGAACAAGAGACAAATTTATCCCGGGTGGCACTTTTTGCCTCTTAAAGTGCTTCCACATCTGTAGTAGACATCACTGTGTTACCCACCAAACATCTACGCATCCTTGCTGGAAGAGAGCCCTGAAGATGCTCTGGGGGCCACGTCTCCCTATGCTCAACCCTTGTGGTCCAGACGGAAAGCCTCCTCCTTCAGGACAGGTCTTGACTGGGCTAAGAGGCACAGCTACGCCCTCCTCCAGCCACCATGACTGACAGTTCGGGGGTGGTGAGGTGGCCCTTTACAGGAATAAGGGCCAAGCCAGGGCTCTTCCTTGCTGCTGCTGTGAATCAAAGCAAGTGTGCACAGGGTGGAGCTGGGGCGGCCACCCTCCGATGGGAAGGGAGAATGACAAGCTGCAGGTCCACTAAAAAGCTGACCTGAAGGACAGCGGGACTCAGGGCCGCCAGGCCTCGAGCGTGAAGCCAGACTCCAGCCCCATCTTTTCAGGTGTGTGAGCAATGACATTCCTTCCCTTCTCCTTCAGTTTCTACTGGCACCTCTTCTACATTATAAATTACACTCAGGCACATTCGTTTTAACACATTAGGGTCACACCATTGAAACTTGTTTTTCATAAATGCTTACTCAAGTATAGCATACTCATATAAAGGTGTACCCCAAAATCGTGTGTGAATTATCACAAACTGAGCACGTCTGTAAATACCATCCAGGTAACAGTCAGGCCATGACGTCTCATCAGGCCTCTCGGTCCCCGCCCCTGACCTCGTCCTCTCCTAAGTGGCAATTTCTGTCTGGCTGCTTTCATTCAGTGTTACCCTTGAAAACTAGTTCATGTAACACGTAACAGTAGTTCCTCTCTCCACTGCAGCATAATACTGCAAGGTATGAAATCCATTCTATTAACAAAAACATTTGTGCTGTTTCCAGCTTGTGCTTTAAAGATTCTTGAAGCTCCCTTTTTATGTTACGTAACATGCATTTCTGTTCAGGATATACCTGGGAGTGGACCTGCTAGGTCTGCATACCACTGAAACATTTTGCTAAACGATTTTCAAAGTGATTCTGCTCCCATCAGAAGTGTTCTAGGTCCTTGTCAGCACTTGATATTGTGGACCCTTTCACCTTCCTTTCTGCTGGCTCTGCCGTGCTATCTATGAAGCTACGTTTCATTTTCATCTGAGTCTCCCAGAAGACAAATGGAGGCTGTTGTGTGTCTGCATCTCGGAAAGTCGAGCACAGATGTATTTGTCCCTTCACGTGAGGCCATGTGCCTCCTTTCTCAAAGGCATTCGTATCTAGAGAGTCCCCGTGTCGGCCCTGCTATGAACAGCCTCCTTTCGTGAGCTGCCCTTTCACCCTATTAATGACATCTTTGATGAAGAGAAGTCCCTAACTTTAATGTAGCCCAGTTTATGAATCTTTTATGATTAGTCCTTCCCCTTTAAAATCCTGCCCATGTTCCCATGTCATTAAGTACAGTTCTACAATAGGAATCGGCAAACTACAGCCCACCATCTATTTGCATAAAGACAATTTTGCTGGACCTGGCACAGCCCGTCTGTTTATGCACTGTGTGTGTGGCTGCTTCAGCCCCGCAACAGCAGAGTGCGGTGGCTACGAGAGACCACGTGG